ATCCACCTTTCAATGAGCCGCCGTTCCCCCCACATCCCATCGCTCTCTGACAAACCCCCCGAGGGTGAGCCAGGCACCGTGAAACTCTCTTTTATGGCTTTCTCCACTGTGGATGTGTAACCTTTGCTTCAGCTCTCTACTGCAACAGCTCATTGTGTTTTTCCACAAAATATATTTTTTCTGGAGCTCAGTCCAGTTTGGATTTGGTCTGACAGCAGCATGCTGAGAAGTCATACAAACACATTTGGTTCTGCTTCATTTTGAAATGAAGCTGGCAGGGATTTCTACACCACATTTACAGATATACAGACATTCAGAGCCACACAAGGTCAGTTTTACTGTGAAAATAAAGTACTGGGACTGGAAGTCTTGAGCCATTCTAGCACCCTTGCAAGGTCCTAATACTAATGGATATATGAAAAATGGAGAAACGCTGTAGATATTCTTAGTTCCTTACTACTCGTGGGACGAAAAATGCAATGATCTGAAGGTGGTCTGGTTAACTTTGTTAACTTTCAGATCACAACTAGGTGTAAATGATATCTGTACAGGCCACATTCTAAAGACATAAATCCTTCCAACAAGTTGAAATGTCAGTTAATCCCCCCTCTTCCTGCCATCACAAGCTGCCCATCAAAAAGCTACTGTAGAAAAGTGCGCCAGCCTTTGTCATCAGCTTTTTCCGTATGGGAGAATATAATATCTGTTGGAAAGGACAAAGGTATTTTGCGGCGTGGATATAAAGGATTATCTAAATGGACTAATGACCTGAATATAGACATTGATGAAGTGGCAAATAACCTTTCTGCTTGCAATAAGATGAGGGAAACCCAATTCAGACACCGTTTGCAGATTACGCCCTATCTTAGACATAAAATGGATCACAATAAATCTGAACTATGTACAAAGTGTAATGCTGAGGTCTGGAACTTTATTCATTGTGTACATACAATATATTTGTATGTATATTGGCGAATATTGGAATAAAATAGTGGATAGACTAGGTCTAATTTTTGATTAATTTGATAAATTGAGTAAGGACGCTTTACCCTTATTATTCAGTCTACCACCAAAACAGCTTAAAACCACACACTCCAACATTAGCCAGGTGGCAGAAGGTCATTTTTTATATATTACCTGTGGAATATCTGACGTACAGGTCAAAGTGTAGGATTAAGGTATTTCATAGTATACGGTCCCCGTTCTTATACTATATGGGTACTAGACTAGCAACCATTGTGCTAAAAGGCCTGGTAGATCACAGTTGGGAAGCAACACGGCATACTAGTACATGACTGAAGTGCTTTAGGGTTGCATGAATTTCAATATGTAGCCTAGGAGTTTAAGGCTTAGTCCTGTAGGTGTACAGGACTTGGGTGTTGTTTCCAATGGGAGTTATTCCCCCCACCTCTCTTATTCTTATTTATTTATCTGAGTTATTGTATTGTATCATTCCTGATCTTTTTTTTTTTTTTTGGTTTGTGACATGGCCTCTCCCTCCCCCTCCTTTTGTTTTTTTTTGTGTGTGTTGTCTGTATTGTATTTAGGAGAAGAATTTTATTTTTTTTAAGAAAGAAAAAGGCTAACTAAAACTAAACTAGACTAACTCTAGCTGACTTTATCATTTGCTAATAGTATTCTGCTCTGCTGTCATCTCGTCAATGGAGTTTCAGCTCGTGGTTGTTCTGCAGTGAAAATGTGATGCAGCGACCAAATGATATGAAGCTGAAAATCTTAGTTTTATTCATCAACCAGCAGCAGAGTGTAGATAATCTCCAACTACGACTTAATTTAACCACGAGGAACAACAAGGAAACAAGGAAGGTAAACAGTATTAGTTCATGTTTATGTTAAACATCTTATCTTTATGTTTAACATCTTATCTTTTGAGGTATCAGCAGAATACGAGTAATCACTCTTTATTAAATAGCCTACATGTGGGACATATGATTATGTCAGAGTACAGGGAAACACAACTGATGAACAATTTGTCTCTGCAGGGGAAGAATTGTTGTAATGGAGGTATTTGGTATTTGTCTTTATTGTTCTCTGTTGGAATCCTAAGATGTTCTTTTCCTGCAAAGCAGAGAGTATGATTCAACAGTTTGAAAGTCATCTTTATTCTCAGCTGGAGGCCGTAAAGCAGACAGCTACACAGTGTTTGTGGATAGAAAAGAGAAATCTAATTTCACTATATCCTTGTTCTTATGTGAAGAAGCTCCTTTTTTCATTGGGTTTGAAGATGAAGGACTCCCGATTTAAACTGTTCAAGAACCTATTTCACTTTCTGAAGGACAGACTCTCCAGTGGACCGCTGAGGCAAGAGGGTCCTTTTATTCCAATAACCCAGAAACTGTTTTGGTGACTCACAAACCTTTTTCCGGCTCTCCAACATTAAGTCATATGTACTCTTACTCACTCCTGATTAGTTCGGACAAAACAAAATAAAGCCCCATCCCAAACAGAGAACACAATGTCAGAACAAAGGTTTTCCAATAGAGGTGGTATTATGCTCATTTTTAGGTTCAAAATCATATTTAGGGGTTGTACCAGAACAAGTTTACATGGTTTCATTTTCAAAAAACACCATCTTTTTTGTCATACTGTACATTGCTGCAACTCTTCTTTTCACCCTGTGTTGAAGGCTTCATTTAAGCTATGGAGTGATACATCTTGTCTCTAAATGATCTTTGTTGGGAGTTGCACATGCGCAGTTCCTAGTTAAGGACTACTAGCCAATCAGAAGCAGAGAAAGGCGGATCAGCGAAAAGACGGTAAACAGTGACGTTGCATAATCAACAATAAACCTGAACAACAGTCGGAGTAAACCTCTCGTAGGTCGTAGCTGAAGCATGAAAACAAGCTAACGTTAGATGGTCAATGCTGAGCTAAACATGTTTACTCACCCCAGGTTACTAACCTATTTGTGTTCAGCACTTCTTTGTTTGGGTCTTGTTGTATGAAATTTTAAAGCCAAAGTTTTTGATGAATGGCTCAGCAACTGCCGGTGTTTGTTGTCCTCTCTCACGTGCGGCCGTGTGCAGCAGATGTTACGTGTTACGTAGGCAGGTTATAGGTAACGCAGGGAAGCAAGCTCATCAGATGTTTCCTAAAAAACAAACATTGTTCACGAGTCCCACACCTCCAGTCCGAGTCAAGTCTGAAGTCTTTTAAGGACGAGTCTCAAGTCGAGTCTCAAGTCACTGTGTATGTGACTTAAGTTGCACTCAAGTCCGAGTCTCTAACTCAAGTCCCCATCTCTGGCTGGAGCTCAGTGTTTTTCCACCGGTGTTTTTGAGGGCGTGTCAGACTAGCCGCTCGGCGAGCATTATGACACGTATTTACTTGTGACATGACAAGAATGCGGAAGTAAAGGCTGGACTACAAACAAGCTGTTTTCAGGCAGTTCAGAGCAGAGTTTTCTGTGGGAGATGGGAACTCCCTTTGGGCTGGACTTTGGGCTTTTTCACTTTGCAAACCTATAACATGCACAAAAAAGATATATAACTCAATAAAGGAGAGGGGAAAAGCCAAAAACCATAATACCGACTCTTTAAGGTACTGCAAATGTTAACTTTAGCATACAGGTAAAGGAGGGTGTCCTCATGAGGTACAATGACAGCATCAGTCGATTGTTCAAATGCCTAAACGACCTACGAGACAACGACTACAAGTGGCTGTGTGAGTTATGGCTTGGCCAAGGAGGCGACAGAAAATACTTAATTTTTATTGAAGGTGGTGACAAACAACATATTCTTTCACTATGAAACTCTAAGTTTCTTCTCTGCTGGGTTTGTGGACAGTGGATTTTGGAATACACCTCACTTTTCCATTTTGTAAACTTCAAAAAAGAACTAGGATTGCTAGAGTTTTGAGGCTCTTTGTATAAAAAAACACACTTGTCTCTTCTTTGACTGGCTTAATTTCTCTGTGTCATGAAGACTGTTGACTTTAAAGGACGTTTAAATCTGACCGGTTTATGTTCTTTGATGTAATGTACTGCTGTTGCGTCTGTTCCAGGTGTTTTGTTTCACAGGGAGGAGAATGGATGTTTATTGATCAGGAAGTGAAGGAGTGCAAAGCAGGGAAAAGAAGGAGGGGATTTGTGGGTATACGACGCCTTGAGGATGTATTCAGACATCACAAGGCTGTTCAGGGAATTAGAGAGGAGATCAAAAAACAGACATACCTCTCTTTGTCTCCTACTTTTCCTCTTCCATGTTATTTTCTTTCACTTTTTGTCTCGCCTTGGAGAGGGGTATCCTTAAACTTGACTTCCTGAATGTTTTTTTCTGTCGTGGAGAGAAAGCAGTTAGTAAATGTATTTATTGATTTATTTTCTTGTTCATTCATGTGTTTCTTCTGTTGCTTGGATGTTTGTTTTCTTTTGTCTCTGGTCAATTTGTTTCCTTGCTTTTTCACTTATTTGTCCATTTTCTGGTTTGCATTTTTGTGCAAGTTATTTAGTTAAAAAATTTATAGAATGGTGGACATTCAGAGAAATGTATGGACAGACAGGTGATCCGTGGAACAACTAAACAATGGAATAGATGAATGGATTGATGGATGGTCAGACAGATGACCCGATGGCTCAGGCCTCTTATCTGTTTCCTGTTCAGTGGTTCACTTAGTTGCATGTAAACTTGTCATCTAGATGAATCAATAGCAGCTATTATGGTCTCTCTGAAATTATAGATCACGCTCGCCTTTTGATCTCTTAAATCATTGATTGCATTTGCCACTGTCTCTCTCTCTGTTTCGGCTGACTGAATTTATTCTGGGCTAACTTGTCTTTCAAATCTTGACTTGCCGCTTAATTGCTATCCAAGTTTGTTTTGTTTTTGCTCAGAAGTTCTGTTGTTAAAGAACTTCCATAAAACTAGAAAAATTTATGAGATCACCATGTCAGAAACAAAGCAAGGTTTCAAATGATGAGCATCAGATTTTTTCTGATGCAAAGTTTATATGATAATTTTTACTCTTCTTTCTTTTCCGTCCAGGTGCAAGCCTTCCGAAACCCCAGGTGAAGACTGCCTCTCTGGGTCAGGCCGGTAAGGCTCGCTCCCCTCTGCTGCCAGTCTCAGTCCCTACAGCGCCAGACTTACCGGAGGAGGGAGGAACAAAACCTGCCGAGGATTCAGCTGCTAACGTATGTCTACATGGAGTGAATGTTGTAGCAACTGCTGCTGATTTAGTTTTTACCATACAAAATGTTCTTTTCTCACACTATGAACAAATCCTCTATACTTTGAATTTTTGTGTATAGCGGTATGTCATCTGTATGCTTCTAAACTTTCTCTTTGTTCTGAAAGTCATCATTGGGCCAAAGAGTGTGCATAACAAACACTGACATTGTTGGATTTGGTCTTATGTCTTAATCTAAATTTCAGTGGATAAAGGTACCCCCTTTAGCCTTTGACAGAAACTAAGCAAGTATGCTGAGCCCCCCCGCCCCCCCCCCCCCCCCCCCCCGGATGCCTGGATCATGATTCTGTTGTCTAATCTCATAGACACTCAACAATTGAGCCAAGACAGCCTAATATTACTGTGACTGAACCTCAGACTATATCATACACATAAAAATAGGTCTGTCCTAAGGCATGTGTTCTGACTGAAGGAAAATGGGAAGCACAGTAGAATTCTCCAAAACGTCTGTGGCTCTGAACTTTCTCTTTAACCAGATCACACACATTTAGGCTGTGTTATCTCCTTTTGATAACTTATGTCATATTTTCTCACTTCCATCCGCTGAGCTCCCTCAATTCCCACTTTGAAAACCTCTGGTTTAGAGAACATCGTCATTTCATAAGATTGTTAGCTTTTTACTGTAGCCGTTGCCACGGGAAACATGAAACAGAAACAGCTGTGAGAACAAATTGATAAAATCAGTGGTCTTTGAGCTTAGCGTCTAGGATTAACTTCAGTCCAGATGCGGAGGTTTTCTACAACTCGTATAAATGTAAAAATGTTCCACATCTTATAATCCATCTGGAGCTTTCTCAGTAAATTGAGTGTGTCCCAAACTTCATATGCTCCTGAAACAACATAAATGTTGAGTAACTCTGCAGTGTTCAGGAGCCCTGAGAACAGAGGTGGATCTGCAACTGCTGTGTCTTAAAGGTCCTGACTGGCATTTGGATTTAGACACAAAAACTGTAGCCTCAGAGTGGTCAAATGATGTACACACATAATACCAAATGACACAGTGTCACTTCGTACAGAAGCCAGAATTATAGAGAATGAACCTTTAATTGACAAACATGTTATTTTCCAGACTGTCTGGAGGTACAACTACCAACCTCATTTTGCATACTAATATAATTTGCATATCAATAAGGCAGTAGTAATAGTAATTGTAGTAAAATAATTAATATTTGCTAGTATTAGCTGCCACAGGAGCAGTAATGATTGTAGATGTGTAGATTTGATATTTGGCGTCTAGGCTCTGACCTCTTCACTCCATGAGAGGAAACACTCAGCTCAGCACAGCAGGGAGTAAGGGGTGATCATAATAACTTTCTCCCCTAGAGGACTGTGGACTGAGGATGCTGGTGGAGGTGGGGCACGCTGTATGAACAGCAACAGCAGAGAAAGTGACGGCTCATTGAGATTTCTGCTAAAGTACTTCAACAAAAACAGGATGATTTTGTAAATTCTCTAATATCCTAGACATGGTGTCATTGTGTCTCTCTATCAGAGGTTGTTTGTCTGCGTCACCTTAAAAGCTGACATTTTGGAGACATAACATTTTTATCCAATCATATTTATCTACTGTCGAATTTTAAATGTGAAATAATGGCACAATGGAGAAGACTATGCCTTTGGTGTGAGAGACCCGCGTTCAATCCCCCACTGTAATGCATCCACCATTGTGTCCCTGAGCAAGACACTTAACCCCTAGTTGCTCCAGAGGTGTGCGACCTCTGACATTAATAGCAATTTTAAGTAGCTTTGGATAAAAGTGTCAGCTAAGTATAAATGTAATAATAAAATCATTTTCACAGCTCTAGCACCATTAGACAGCAACAGAGCCAAGCTAAACACACCACTCTGTTTCTGTTTTAAACCCAAGTATTGTTTGCATTCACTAACAAATGTTTGTTTCCTCTATTATGCAGTTTTATTATATTGCTGTTAAGCTACAATCAATGAACGTTTCACAATAAAAGACTACATTGGCTCAGATTGCATAAACCCTCCAGCAGACTTTTAATTTGAAACATCTGCAGGAAGAGTTAAGTTTCACTGACGGTACCGTAACAGCTAACAAAAACATTTCAGAGTAGAGGTTATCAAAAATAATTAGTGAATAAAAACAGTATTTGTGTTGTACTGATGCAACTAGTGCTGTGGTAATGTATGTTGGGGCTGTCAGTTTGCATCAAATCAGAAACCAGGTAGCCTTCTTCCATAAATATGATCAAATATATTTATAGAACAGGGGAAGTAGCAGAACCTCCCAACTGGTGGTTGCGCACCTGAAGGCAGGGGTCGCCGGCCAAGTGAGGGTGCCACACTTCCTTCAAAAAAATGTTTATTATCAGTATTAGTATGATTTTTTTTTGATAATTTATGAAATTATTCAAGTGTTCCACCTGAATATAATAGTCAAGTCATGTTCCGTGGGGTACCGTCAATTCTTTTGAGTTGGGAAGTCATTCTTTTGATTTCTGGGTGTTCATCAGCTTTTAAGCCGTAATGTGGAAACATGGATGCTAAAAAGAAGATGGGTTGTATGTAACACGTTGATAGCTTTTTCCACTAAAATATTTTTATACTTTCTGAAATTTTTTTTTCCAATTATAATCACAAGTCATCATAGCTAACGTTACCTCAACTCAGAAGAGCAACTGGATCATGTCATTAAGAGAAATACAGCTCAGTCATCACAGTACTCAGGATACATTCATAGGCAACTAAAGAAATGCTATTTAACAGCTGGTCTGCTTGATTTTTGGTACTGCTGAAATTTCAGTAAATATATAAATTACAGTATGTAGCGAAGTCATCGGCCTCTAAACTGAAATGGACACAGCTGGATGAGTTGGAGTACTGGTTTACAGCTCTGTAGTGTAGCAGGTGTCAGATGTACGAACATGAGTCATAGAAAAATCTTAAATATCCAGTGAAGACTAAAGGCAGAACACAGATTCAGAAAATACAAAACAGAAGAGGAGAACAGAGAGGTAGGCAGGTGGATGGTGGAACCGACTGAGATGAGAGTGACAGAGGTGGGATGAAGGTATCCACACACACACAGATACCACACACACCTGCTCAGCTTTGTCACTACACCTGTTTCCTTCCTTTCAGTGTGCCGGCGGCCATTCAGCTGCAGAATAAAACAGAGTTCATTAGTGACCGAGACTGAGGCAAAGGAAGAGAGGAGGGAGACAAATGAGAAGAAGATGATAAGGAGGAGGGGTAGAGGAATAAGTGGGGAGAGGGGAGAGGAAAGAAGAGAATATAGGATGGAGAGGAGGCGGTGGGAGAGGAGTAACTGCAGTAAAACTAGGGTGAAAGAGAAGATGGGCATGGAACAGGGCTTTTCAAAATCTGGGACTGTGGGCCTGCCCGGGGGAGAAGACATCCCTCCACCCCCCCTCAGTTTACTTGCTAAGTTTCGCTCAATTCCTGGATGCCTGAATCATGACCACGTTTTCTAATTCCATAGACACTCCACAATTGAACCAAGATAGCCTAATATTACTGGGACATAAAATCAGATCACACAAATACATAAAAAGATCTGTCCTAAGGCATGTAGCAGTCTCTGACTCTAAGAAAGTGGTAGAATTCCCCAAATCTTTTGTAATTCTGAACTGTCTTTACCATATCACACACAGTTAGGCTATGTGATCTCCTTATGATAACTAGTAATAATGTAATAAGTAATGTAACACTTCACCTCCACCGAAACTTCTGGTAGAAAAGAAAGAAGGGGGATGTAGAGGAGGGTGAGGGAGGACAAAAAGAGGCGATGGGACGTAGAAGAAGAGCAGACAGAGACTACAGAAAGGATAAGGTGGGAGATGGGGGGAGGAGAAAAGGAAACATAGAGGAGGACAGCAGAAAGGAAGAGGAGTAGAGGAAGGAGATGGTAAACAAGAAAGAAAGTAAGGACAGAAAGGAGGGAGACGGAGGAGAGACAAAGGTGAGTCATGAAAACAGGAGGAGAAAGGGGTGAGGAAAAAAGAACAAACAGAAAAGGGTGAGGAAGAGGATGTGCAGACTGGAAAATGGGGAGGAAAAAGAAAGAGGGGAGGGGATGAGGGGGGATAATTGGTAGATGGAGGGATGAAGAGGGAGAATAGGAAGTGAGGATGGTGGGAGGAGATGAAGAGGTTGACTGAGAGGAGAGAAGTAAGGGGGAGGAGAGGAGGGAGGGGGAGGCAGAAGATGCCAAGTAGAGAGGTAAATGAGTGGACGTTGGGACTAAAATATTCATATGAGATTCAATGACAGTTGGACAGGAGGAGGCATTGCCACGGTAACGAGGAGAGAGGAGAGGACAGGGGAGGAGAGGGGAGAGAAGGACTCAAGGAGAGGAGAGGTGTAAGGAAGGAAAGGGTAGAAGAGCAGGAGGTGTCGCTGTAGCAACAGGAAGAGGGAGGGATGAGGAAGGATGAGGAAGGACAGAAGGAAAGAGCAGGAGGAAAGATATGAAACAAAAACAGAGGAGAGGAGAGCAAAAATAATTATTTATTTTTTGTAAAATTAAGCAACAAAATGACAGAATTTAGGACTACTTGCATCATGGGTTTCATCCACTTTCTGTAATACAGATGCAAAACATCTAAAAGCAAAAATCAAATCAGATGGGGGATCCTGGGACAGAATTTTATCAAACGGGGGTCCCTGGTCTAATTTGTGTCATTTTAGGTGTCCTTGACTTGGAAAAAGTTTGAGAACCAGGAAAGCGATGAGAGAAAAACAGAGAAGAGGAGAGGATGTGGAAGGGAAGGCGGGTAGCCATGACAACGGGCAGAGAGGGCTGCTTTATGAGGGACAGACAAGGAGGAGCAGAAAGGGGAGGCAGGGACAGGAGAGAGGAAAGGAGAGAAGAAGAGGGGAGGGCAGAGGAGAGGATAGAAGGAAGGAGAGAGATAGAGAAGATGAGAGGAGGTGAGAGCAAGAAAATCAGGACAG